AATGGAGAATTAAGAGGAGAGAAGAATACTAGTGGTAGAGGAGGGAAAAAAAATTAAAGAATGAAAGAGGAAAAATGGGGAAAACAGAAAAGGTAACAGATGATGGTGTTATAATTTATTGACTATGATCATTTATTGGCTATGATCATTTGGAGGATCTATAACATGAATTGTGAATATTATTTTATACAGGTAAACAGAAGCAGTAATATGGAAAAGTAAATGAAAAGTATGGAGATGAAAAAAGATGAAAAAAAGTGTAGAGCTTTGGTATCCTTCTACAGTATTACTGTATAATTTTGTTGCTTGTGAAACTGGATCATCAGATTGAGTCCTTTTTGGATCTTTCAGCTTCGCATTTGCCAGTGATTCCTGCTTCACAATGACTTCATTTTAAATGTCTCCTGGCTTGACTCAACTTCAGTATTTTCACCAGGGATTCATTTATCTTTAGTTGCGCTGGCTGGTTTAATACAGCATAATTTGCTTCTGTAGAGTTGATTCACTCTTCCCAGTGACTACTGTGACACATATTATTCTGTGGTTCAGTGATTCCTTCTCAGTGATTTCAGGCTATCAGAGACTGGTTTTGTTAACTAATTTACCCTGACTGAACAAATAGGCATAAAGTAAATGAAAAATAGAGATTCCATTTCACTTCCTGCTCAGGAAACAGAACAGTAAATGTGAGAAAATTGCCTCAAAGTGAGGGGAATTGCCTGATTAGACAGCTGTCAAACCCTCAGATGAAGTCGAAAGGCCGAAACGTCAGGGCATGACTATACGGCAATAGTAAGTGACGTCAGTGCGATGACTGGATGTGACGTGAATCATGGTGATGCAGTGAGATGCAGTATATCACAGTTACTTTGATCAGAACAATACTCTGAATTTGATTAACTATAAGTTGTTTTATTGTTGTGAGTGTATTTTAAACTTTTTATTAAATTTGTTTACACTGAATCACACTATGAGGAGCATTTTGTGTCCTCTAACTTGAGTTTCTAGTGGAATTGAAGACCAGTTTAATGGGGATTGCTGACCAGTCCTGGATGCTCTGCTACCATAAAATGTTTGAGTGCATTGAGCCAACCGGTAATGAGAGGCAATAAATTAGCGGTGAGTGTGGTGGCAAGAAGGGAGTGTGTTTCACCTAAAGCACAATGGTGGTGTGAACCTCTCAAAGGAATCAGAAGCTAAAGTTTATGGACTTTGATGAAGGACATTTTTATTGCCTACTATTTAGTTTGCATATTTTCTTCACAAGTGGGGGTGGAGGTGGTGTGATTTCTTGATAGACTGAGCTCTGCTAGAGTAATTGATGTTGTTCACTCTTGCTTGTTTGTATTGAGTTTTATTGATTAAAGGGGCAGCTTACTATATTAGATTGAGTGGGTATATACCAATCTTCCAAGAACGCTTAATATTGTTGGTATATTACTTTATTCACTTTAAGTTGTCACTGAATATTTGTCCCTGCTGGATGTCCCTTCCCCTCTTGCTCTGGTGACAACTCAAAAATTTCAGATTTCTCTCCTCTTTTCTGTCTAAGCAACAGTGGTAACCAGGACACATAAAGGGGTCCATCTCAACAGCAAAGATACAGACGTCAATAAAGACTTGACAGATGGCCTAGCCCTTCCACAATATATCTAAAACTTTTAAAGAGTTTTCCTTTTCATACACTTTTGGGAAAAAATAGCAATGAAAAATCTATCTATATCTATCTATCTATCTATCTATCTATCTATCTATCTATCTATCTATTTATTGCTGACCAAATCTATAGATTATGAAATATAATATTTCTCTGATATGATTTGGTAAATGAAGAGTTCTTACCCAGAAGTGAAAGGTTTAAACACAACAACCAAATTTTATTGGTGAGTAGGATGGAGGTCTAAACTAAACACAAACAATCTATCTAGTTACATAAAAGAAACATTATTAAGAAAGCCCAAAACATATAACAAAATACAAACCGTGAGACAGAAAAGACATAAGACAAACTTTAAGATACAAGTGCAAGGGATATATTCCATAATTACCATGGAACTGGATGTTAAAGTTCCATTCCCTTCCTCTGGTGTTCCAAAGAAAACCTCTCTCCCTCTCTCCCTCCCTCCCTCCCCTCTCTCCTCCCTCCCTCCCTCCCTCCCTCTCCCTCCCTCCCTCCCTCCCTCCCTTTCTCCCCCTCCCTCTCTCCTCCTCTCCCTCCCCCCCTCTCTCTCTCCATCTCCCTCCCTCTCCCTCTCCCTCCCTCTCCCTCCCTCTTTCCCTCTCCTCCCTCTCTCTCTCCCTCCCTCTCCCTCTCTCCCTCTCCCTCCCTCCCCCTCCCTCTCTCCCTCCCTCTCTCCCTCTTTCCCTCCCTCTTTCCCTCTCCCTCCCTCTCCCTCCCTCTCCCTCCCTCTCCCTCCCCCCTCTCCCTCTCTCCCCCTCTCCCCCTCCCCCCTCTCTCTCTCTTCTCTCTCTCTCTCTCTCTCGCTCCCTCTCTCCCTCTCTCTCCTCCCCTCTCCCTCTCTCTCCCTCTCCCTCCCTCTCCTTCCCTCTCTCCCTCTTTCCCTCCCTCTTTCCCTCTCCCTCCCTCTCCCTCTCCCTCTCCCCCCCCCCCTCCCTCCCTCCCTCTCCCTCTCCCTCTCTCCCTCCCCCCTCCCCTCCCTCCCTCCCTCCCTCTCCCCCCCTCCCTCTCCCTCCCTCTCTCCCCTCTCCCCCTCCTCTCTCTCCCTCCGTCTCCCTCTCCCTCCCTCTCCCTTTCCCTCTCTCCCTTTCCCTCTCTCCCTTTCTCTCTCCCTCCCTCTCCCATCCATAGTTATAGGCCTCTCCTCCATTAATTTTCATGGAGTATCTCTGATTGGTTGGCCAATCTATTCCCTTCATAATTGGCTAACTTCAAATCCCATGTATTTAGCATACACCGACCCACTTTAAGGCAAATCTTGGCACACCCTTTATGGAATTTAAGCAAGCCAGTTCATGACCTTTTCCTGGGAAACTAATGCAGGCCATAGATAGGTCAAAAACCGGCTGTTTTTTAACAAAAAAACTAAAAATTGGTTGTTCAATAGACCGACGTTACCACCAATGGTAAAAAAAAAATTGGCCGATTTTCGTCCCGTCTACGGCCGGCATTTAATTACTTCTGTCCCTGCAGAGAGCTCGGCTATTATATTTGACATTAAAAAAGTATAGCGGTTGCAACATTGTATCTATTTGTATCCATTTCGGATACAGATGTTTTTTATTTGGATACAAATAGATACATTGTTGCAACCGCAATACTTTTTCATGTCAAATATAATAGCGGACTGGAAATTCTTATTGTTCTTTTTCTTCTTCTTCTTCTTTTTTCTTGCAGGTCACGGCTCATGTGCAGATTTTTTATTGGTAAAAAAAATCTGCCGATTTGCCCATGATTGCCCGCGAAAATTGGCCTATCGGCAAAATCAGCCGATTTTTTTCCAACTTTACAGACTAAAAAAAGTACCAAAATCCAGAAAAAAGGCCGACCAATTAACCCATTAACGGGTGCAAAAAATCAGGGGCCGATTTTTTTTTCGACCCATCTATGGCCTGCATTAGTATTCATGAACGGCTGGCCACCTTCATTGCATATCTAAATGAGGTATCCTTTGAAGTGCATATTTGTGAAAGCCAACAGGTTTTGTCTGGAGAGCCAAGAACAGCTGAAAATAAATCACAAGGCTGACAATAATTTTTGGGAAAATAAAAATATGCATTTTAGAATAGAGAATGTCAGCCTAAAACCATGAGTCTGGACGTTTTGATAACACTGGTAAAGTTAGCTGTGTGAAGTCATGTTTAAAAACATGAGTTTTTCAGCTTTTTTTGATTATTTTTGTATCAAAATAAGTACAAAAACGCCAGTTTGCTGCGCTTTTACCGTGTTTTGCAGAGTTTTTTCACATTAGAGCTTTTTTACAGCTAAAAAACTCCTCTAGGAACCCACTAGTCCTGGCTTTTTTTCCAGCCTAAAAACTTCCCAGCCAAAAAATGTTGATTACAGTTTATGTGTGCATGGACACATAGGATAAACATGCTTGGGGGTTTACTAGCTGTAGAAAAAAACATCAAAAAGCCAAAAAACAGCTGCTGTAAAAACGTCAATGGTGCATGAGGACTTAAATCCACTAATCACTAAAGGAAGAAAAAATTCAAAAGGTTCCATCTATTTACTTTTTTTTTAAATGAAACATTTTGATTAATGTTTTTCTTTCCTCTATTGCTTCCTAATCAGCAGTCATTCAATAGCTGAATATGGGTAGTGGAGGTTGGATGGCATTAAATGATGCCTTTGGGAGAAAGAGCTGCACACATTTATTACATATAATTGCACTCCAAACTTGAGAAACAGCCAGTGGGGGCTCAATTTGTCACACAAATTGAAGGAGCTGTCGTTTTTCTCTTGCAATTCTTTTGAATGTTTTGATTTTTTTTTTTGTGTGGATGTTTTTAATTATTTGGTTGTGGGCGCTGTTTGACTCGCATGATGATCCTAGCATCAGGTGAAGGTGTGCACTACTACCCTTTTTGAAAAGTTACATTTATCACATACAGCTCATTCTGAAAAATCTTCTGACCTGCACTAAGCCTCATCTTTAACAACTTACAATATGCTTTAAATTAGGTGCTTTTGAAAGCCAATAACATAAGGATGACAGGGTGGATGGATAGCAAAGGCTGTATAACATCTTTAACCAGAGTGGGTAAGGCAAACAGTCCTGCAATGTATATAACTAATGGTACTTTATCTAGAAAATTCTTCATCTTCTGGAGAGTTATATCCACATATTTCCATAGGGTGGATTAACTGAAATTCTTCATATCATTATACTAAACATATTTTAATTAGAGATGAGCGAAGTATTCAAAAATTCGATTCGACCGATTCGGCGAATTCGTGGGACAATATTCGATTCGAGTCGAATATATTGGCTGTGAATTTAACTTAAAAAGGGTGTTTTCTAGGCTTCAGAGAGACTTAATATTAGTGCAGAACACTGTACCTTTAATTTTAAATGCCCTTGGAGTCTGCTGGGGAAGAGAAATAATACTGTCCAGTCGTATGACATGCAGATGAGTGCCGTAGATCTTAGAATCACCGCACACTTTCACTCATTTGGCCAGTCACAGGGGCCAAAACCAGTGTTTGGAGCCACAGGTGTGGCGGTGGAGGCAGCAGCAAATGGGAGGCCATACAGCAAACTATGACAAATGGAAACCAGCAGGAGTGTGAGGAGACCTCAAAGAGGCACATGGCAGAGTGGAGCAATGGAGGCGGTACAGGGACTCCATGTCACACTGTGGACCCCCAGCAGCAGCGTGACGAGGCGAGTAACGGGGGCCCATGGCGGATTTGGGGCCTGGCAGCACCTATGGGAGCACCTTAATCTGCCAGCAAACCGATGACAAAATGGAAAACAGCAGGAGTGTGAGGAGACCTCAAAGTGGCACATGGCAGAGTGGAGCAATGGGAGGCCGTACAGGGACCCATGACAGACTCTGGACTTGCAGCAGCATGGAGGAGGCGGTATAGGGGCCCATGGCAGATTAGGGGCCTGGCAGCACAGCTATGGGAGGCCCGTAATCTGCCAGCACCCTATGTCAAAAAATTGAACACACCAGCAGTGTGGAGGAGACCTGAAGTGGCACATGGCAGAGTGTGGCGATGGAGACAGCAGCAAGTGGAGAGGCGTCAGGGAGCCCATGAGTAGACTCTGGACTTGGCAGCAGCATGATGGAGGCGGTATATAGGGGCCCATGGCAGATTAGGGGCTGGCAGCAGCTATGGGTTTTAGGCCCGTAATCTGCCAGCACCTATGACAAAAAATGGAACACCACCAGCAGTGTGAGGAGAGGAATACCTGAAAGTGGCACATGTTTGGGGCATGATCATGGCGGATTTAGTCAGTTGTGTCAGGAAACTGGTGGTTTGAAAATCCAGACTAATCCACGCCTGATTCATTTTCACAAACGTGAAGTCTCTCCACACTTTGGGTGGACAGTCGTGTCCTCCGCGGAGTTGCAATACCTCCTGCCGGCACTAAAACACGCGCTCCGATGCCACGCTACTGGCCGGCATGACAGCCTTTCAAGGGCAAATTCAGCTAGTTGGGGCCAAAGGTCAAGTTTCAGTTGCCCATTAGTCAAGGGGATTGTCTACCTCGGTTGGCAGGGTGCTGTCCATGTAGGCCCTAAGCCTGTTGTTTTTGAGGTCCTGCTCCTAGGTCACCTGATGCTGCTGCTGCTGCTGCTGCGGTCTGGTTAGTAGTTTCCTCATTGCGTGGTGAAGAAAGCGTACTCATCATCGACTGCCAGGACTGAGGGCAGCCGATGATGGTGGAGCTGACACTGCTCCCTACCAACCCCACTCCTCCCCTGCTGCCAGGCAGCGTATACATGTTACCGCGAGCGCACAGGGCCCACAGTGTCTGAGGTTAGGACGTTAGGCAGCAGACCAGGCAGAGACCAGCTGTACGACATAGGTGGTTATCTATAGGTACGTTATATTTGGCCGCCCTATCAGCCAGGTGTGATAAAGGCCATACTATTTTGGTAACGGTGACGCGAAGGTCCAACAAGGTTGGAACAGCCAAAAGTCATCCCTCTGTCTGGATGGTTATTATTCGGCTGTCGGTACGCAAGCTAGCGAGCATGCTTTGGGCCAGTTTGTGCCAAGGAATGCGAGGGACTCCCTGCCTCCATCTCCACAGCATTACTGGCCACGGTGCGTCTCTGGTCCTCTGTCTCCTCTTCACTCCTCCTATACCAGATGCTCCATGCACCTCCACTCCTGTACGACTGGCTGAGTGTGGAAAAAAAAAAACACACATTTCACTCCATAATTCCTGAGCACCAATGTCCTCCTCTACCTCCTCCTTCTTATTCATGTACCTGCTCCCATCAGGGGTACATGATGGCGTTGAGATCTTGTTGCGCCACGTCTACCGCACCCTGGACCATGCCTTCTGTTTACTATATTTGTTTTTTTTTTCCCCAGGACAGTGCAAACAGAGGAATGACGTCGTTCATCCCATAGTCCTGCCGACTCGACGAATAGCGTGGCCTCCTCAAAGAGGCCTGAGCAAGCGCAGGTGTCACGCATGAGCTGCCAATGGGCCTGACTTCTAAGTTACACAGGGAGTTACCTTTATCCGCTTTTAACATCAGGAAATCTGTGATGGCCTTTTGCTGTTCGTAAAAGGCAGGTCTCAAATTATGTAGGGTTGAATTCCACGTTGTTTGCAACGTCACAGCATGAGGAAGTCTGGTACGGGGGCCCATGGCTGATTTACGTGGCCTTGGCAGCAGCAATGGGTAGGCTCCGTATAATCTGCCTGCACCCTATGTCAAAAATTATCAAACACTCACTGCAGTGTGTGAGCGAGACCTGAGAACGGGCACATGGCAGAGTGAGGCGATGGAGACAGCAGCCAATGGGGAGGCCGGTTCAGGGACCCATGAGAGACTCCTGGACTTGGCGTGCAGCTATGAGGAGGCGGTATCATATATGGGGCCCTTGGCAGATTAGGGGCCTGGCAGCAGTCTATGGGAGGCCCGGAATCTGCCAGCACCCTATGTCAACAAAATTCAATCACTCCAGCAGTGTGAGGAGACCTGAAGTGGCACATGGGCATGAGAGACTGTGGACCTTGGCAGCAGCATGAGGAGGCGGGTATAGGGGCCCATGGCTGATTAGGGACCTGGGCAGCAGCTATAATGGGAGGACCCCGTAATCTGCCAGCACCCTATAGTCAAAAAAAATTCAACACACCCAAGCAGTGTGTTGAGGGAGAACCCATGATAGTGGCACATGGCAGAGTGTGGCGATGGAGACAACCCACAGACTGTTTTGCTCGCTTGCCATGCTGCCACCCTCATTCTCCTGATGATGCGGGAAATGCAATAGCCTGATGGTCGGACGAGGGTCTGCCAAGTGCGATCAGCCTTCTTCATCATCTAATTAGGGTCTCAGCTCATCACTACTTGCTCTCCTCGGCTTGCGTGTGGGTCAGGAGGGGACCAGGACCTGTCTCTACCACTCGGGCTTACCGAGCCACTCTCCTCGCCACTACTTCTTCGCCTGTGCTGCTGAAGAGGCGAATGTCTCTCCCCAGTTCCTGGACCGCCCTCTGGTTAGCTCTTCCTTCCTCTGTATGGGATGACACCGGTCGAGCACTAGCCATCTGGGGCTGCGTATAGTTGCTGCCTCGACCCCTTCCATCTGCTTGCACAGTCTGCTCGCGTCCTAAAACATTGCCTCCTCTGCCACTCCTATGCATGTTTGATCAGACATAACTCTTTAATTAAATGATTCTGTGTCCCTGAGTAAACAATTCTGTGGCCCTAAGTAACGGTTCTGTGGCCCTCAGTTACAGTTTCTGTGTCCCTGGAGTAACTAATTCTGTTGTCTGTGCGGAGTAACAACTATTCTGTGGCCCTAAAGTAATCAGTTCTGTGGCCCTTCAGTAACAATTCTGTGGCCCTCTGTAACAATTCTGTGTCCCTGTGTAACAATTTCTGATGTCTGTGCGAAGTAACAATTCTGTGGCCCTAAGTAAAACGTTTCTGTGGCCTCAGGTAAACAGTTCTGTGTCCCTGCAGTATAAACAATTCTGTGTCTGTGAGCCCACAGTAACAAATTCTGTGGCCCTAAGTAACAGTTCTGTGGCCCTCAGTAACATTTCTGTGGCCCTAAAGTAACGGTTCTGTGGCCCTCAAGTAAACAAAATCTGTGTCCTGTGTAACAATTCTCAGTGTCTGTGCGAGTAACAATTCTGTGGCCCTAAGTAACAGTTCTGTGGCCTCAGTAATCAGTTCTGTAGTTGTGTCCTGGAGTAACAATTCTGTGTCTGTGCGAGTAGTAACAATTCTGTGGCCCTAAAGTAACAGTTTCTGTGGCCCTCAGTAAACAGTTCTGTGTCCCTGAGTTAAAAACAATTCTGTGTCTGTGCGAGTAAACAATTCTGTGGCCATAAGTAACAGTTCTGTGGCCCTCAGAAACAATTTCTGTGTCCCTGAGTATACATTTCTGTGGCCTAAGTAATACGGTTTCTGTGGCCCTCAGTAAAAAATTCTTGTGTCCCCTGTGTTAACCAATTCATGTGATTGTTCTGTGCGAGTAACAAATTTCTGTGGCCCTAGAGTAAAACAGTTCTGTGGCCCTCTGTAACAGTTCTGTGTACCTGAAGTAAACAAGTCTGTGTCTTGTAGCGAGTAAACATATTCTGTGGCCCTAAGTAAACAGTTCTGTGGCCCTCAGTAACAATTCTGTGGCCCTAAAGTAACGGTGTCTGTGGGCCCTCATCGTTAACAATTCTGTGTTCCCTGTGTATAACAATTCTGTGTCTGTGCGAGTAACAATTCTGTGGCCCTAAGTAACAGTTCTGTGTCCCTGAGTAACAATTCTGTGTCTGTGCTGTGCGAGTAACAAAATTCTGTGGCCCTAAGTAACAGTTCTGTGGCCCTCAGTAACAATTTCTGTGTCCCTGAGTAACAAATTCTGTGGCCCTAAGTAACGGTTCTGTGGCCCTCAGTAACAATTCTGGTGTCCCTGTGGAACAATTCTGTGTCTAGTCGCGAGTAACAATTCTGTGGCCCTTAAGTAACGGTTCTGTGGCCATCAGTAAACACAGTTCTGTGTCCCTGTGTATATACAATTCTTGTGTCTGTGCGAGTTTTGCGAGTAACAATTCTGTGGCCCTTAATGTAAACCAGTTCTGTGGGGCCCTCAGTAACACTGGTCTGTGTCCCTGAACGTAACAATTCTGACTCTGTGCGTGGGTGTGGGGTGGGTTGACTTGGAAGTAACATTTCTGTGGCCCTAAGTAAACGAGTTCTGTGGCCCTCAGTAACAATTCTGTGGCCCTTAAGTAACGGTTCTTGTGGCCCTCAGTATCAAATTCTGCGTCCCTGTGTAACAATTCTGTGTCTGTGCGTAGTAACAATTATGTGGCCCTTAAGTTACAGTTCTCGTGGCCCTCCAGTAACAGATCTGTGTTCCCAGTGTAATCAATTCTGTGTTCTCGACTGCGAAAGTAACAATTTCTGTGGCCCTAAGTAAACAGTTTCTGTGGCCCCTCAGTAACAATTCTGTGTCCGCTGAGTAACAATTCTGTGTGAACTAAGTAAACGGTTACTGTGGCCCTCAGTAACAATTACTGTGTAGCCTGTGTAACAAATTCTGGTGTTCTGTGCGGAGTAACAAATTCTGTGGGCCCTAAGTAACGGTTCTGTGGCCATCAGTAACAATTCTGTTGTCCTGTGTACACAATTCTGTGTCTGTGCGAGTAACAAATTCTGTGGCCCTTAAGTAAACAGGTTCTGTGGCACCTATCAGGAACAATTCTGTGTCTGTCCCTGTGTAACAATTCTGTGGGCCCTAACTAAAGTTTCTGTGGCCCTTAAGTAACAGATTCTGTGGCCCTCAGTAAACATTTTCTGTGTCTGTCCCTGAGTAACAATTCTGTGGCCCTAACTAACAGTTTCTGTGGCCATAAGTAAACATTTTCTTTGGCATCTCAGTAACAATTCTGTCTGTCCCTGGAGTAACATTTTCTGTGGCCCTCTAATATCGTTTCTGAGGCCCTAAAGTAACAGTTCTGTGGCCCGCAGTAACCATTTCTGTGTCTGTCCCTGATGTAAAACAATTTGTGGCCCTAACTAAAGTTTCTGTGGCCCTTATAGTTAACAATTTATCTGGCACTCAGGTAACAATTCTGTCGGGTCCCATGAGTAACAATTCTGTGTGCCCTAATAACGTTTTCTGTGGCCCTATAAGTAACAATTCTCTAGTGGCACTCTAGTAACAATTCTGTCTGTCCCTGAGTAAGAATTCTGTTGGCCCTAACTAGCTGTTTCTTAGTCCCTAAGTAAACGATTCTGTGGACCTCCCTTAACAAATTCTGTGTGTTGTCCCTGAGTAATGGTTCTCTGTCCCTAAGTAACGTTTCTCTGTCCCCATAAGTATCGTTTCTGTGGCCCTAAACTCTGTCCCCTAATATCTGTAGCGGTCTTGCCTCTGTTTCAATGACTGGAGGCCCAAATGAAGAATTCCAAATATGGCCGCTTTTTATAGCTCGACCAATTACACAGTGCTGGCTGGCTGGCTGCTGTATTGGGCTGAGTGCGATCACATGTCATTGAGGAATGGCATTATGGGTCTAGCGCGCACTTGTGTCTGGCGCGCTTCCCAGTAATCCCCGCTCCGGCGCCGCACATGTCCGCCGCCATTTTCGGAAATAATTTCGATATTTGCGCGTCCGAAGTTAGGCTATTTTTCGGATTCGGAGGCGGAATCGAAAATTTATTCCGATATTCGAATCGGAATTCCAACTTCGGCTACTTCGATTCGCTCATCTACTAAATTTTTAATTGTAGCTTTATCAACTTTGTGGTCCTAAGAGCTACAAGTACATAGGCAGGATTTAGTCAGTGTAAGGGGCATGTAAGTGTGGACAGCAGTGGCTGAATAAAATACAAAAATTCAACACATTTTCTTATGCTATGTAAGAATTAACGTATTCCATATTTAAGAAATTTAAACTTCTTAAAATGGCTTAGCTTATTTCAGGCGATGTGTTAACATACTCAGATGGGAAAACATGAGTCTTGCTACCATGTGTTCATTGATTAGCCAGTGAACAGCCAGTCTGGATAGCTTGCAGGAAAAAGGACAGCTAGTGAGTCACCATAAAAAATATCTAATGGGGTGGGGAATGTTCTTTTACTACAATGGGGATTTAGGAATCATTACTGCTATGGTGGAAAGCACTTTCTGGGGGCACAAGAAGGGAAAATACAGAACGCATATAAAAGAAACTCATTGCCAAAAAATGTTAAAGTACAAATGGTTATTTCCCTTGTCTATGTCTTTGACTTGAAGGAAACCCAAAGTTCGATATAACACATCTTGCAGTATTATTTCCCTAATGCATGACCTTAAAAACGGTCGTTGGGACTGTAAATGTACATTATAATTAACCCATTTATGTCTAGAAGCAGTACAATAATTCATCCATCCACAAATAGTTTTACTAGCTTGCAGAAATGATAGTTAGTGCTTGCTCTTTGTACAGAAAGGTAGATCCTGCTCATCAGTGGCTTAACTTAGAGCAGGGCTCAAAATTTTCAAAGTCCTGAGCTGCTAGCCAGGACTTAAGAGTTACCCAAACCTCTACCCTGCCCCGCCCCTAACTCCCACCTCTAAACATGCCCTTGTAAATTATCTCTTGAAATGGCCTGTTTAGATGTTTTATGCAGAATAAAGGAATGAACAAAGGAAAGGGATGGAAGGAGGGAGGAAGGAAAAGGGAGGGAGGGAAGGGAGGAAGGAAGGGAGGGGGAGGAAGATAGGAAGGAAGGAAGGGAGGAAAAAGGAAGGAAAAGGAGGGAGGAAGGGGAGGAAGGATAGGAAAGAAGGACAGGGGAGGGGAGGGAGGGAAGAAAGGAATGAAGGGAGGG